GTATTTATTTATTTTGCTTTTTTAAAAAAATATTTAATTTATTTGAAAGACAGAGTTACAGAGAGAGGTAGAAACAGAGAGAGGTCTTTCATCCAATGGTTCACTCCCCAGATGGCCTCAATGGCTGGAGTTGCACCAGCTGGAGCTGCACCAGCTGGAGCTGCACTGATCTGAAGCCAGGAACCAAGAGCTTCTTCCAGGTGTCCCCCAAGGGTGCAAGAGCCCAAGGACTTGGGCCATCTTCTACTGCTTTCCCAGGTCATAGTAGAGAGCTGGATCAGAAGAGGAGCAGCTGGGACTCAAACCAGTGCCCATATGGGATGCAGGTGCTTCAACCCAGAGCTTTAACCCACTGTGCCACAGCACCAGCTCCTATTTATTTTGATTTTTAAGGACTCTTAGGTTGAGTGTGACCAAAATCCCCTGCCTCAATTTTCTCATATTGCAGTACACCCATAAGGTGAGTATTGACTCATAAGATGAGTCTTCTATTTAGTTGACACCTCAAGATTCTGTTCATTCAATAAGTCATTATCATCTGTCCTCTGTGGGTATGTGGGAGATCTGGTGGCAGGAGGATTTAATGCAAAAAAAAAAAAAAATATCCACCTGCGGCACCAGTACTCCAAGTTCTAGTCCTGGTTGGGGCACCAGATTCTGTCCTAGTTGCCCCTCTTCCAGTCCAGCTCTCTGCTGTGGCCCAGGAGTGCAGTGGAGGATGGCCCAAGTGCTTGGGCCCTGCACCCACATGGGAGATCAGGAGGAAGCAAAGGGCTCCTGGCTTCAGATCAGCAGAGCGCACCAGCTATACCAGCCATTTAGGGGGGTGAACCAACAGAAGGAATACCTTTCTCTGTGTCTCTATCTCTCTCTCACCAACTCTGCCTGTTAAAAAAAAAAAGAAAAGAAAAGAAAAGAAAAGAAAAGAAAAGAAAAGAAAAGAAAAGAAAAGAAAATGAAAGAAAAGAAGGCTTCCCATGAATGAGGAAACCTCAGGGTAAAATGATTCTGGCCTCAAATGGAGGACCTCCCACAGTCCCTCTGGTCAACCACAGGCAGAGGTGAGTTTCTCTTTCTTGTTATGCCTCTCTACAGACATGAGCACCAGGATAGAAGCTAGGACACCTCAGCCTCGTACAAGTTAATGAGAGTTTGACAGCCTCCCAGTCAGTCAGGATCCAGGCTCTGGCCCCAGCTTCAGTTACCAAGCCTCTGCCTATCATCTGCCTATTTTCTTTTCAGACAACTGTGTCATTTCTGGGCTCTCCTGCCTGAGATTTGACCTTAGCCTGATTGTTCTTACCTGACGTGGATGTGAAATCCACAAATGATGTAGGTGATTCTATTGTGCACCTACACCTTTTATCACACTGTTTTGTAATGGTCTATGTCCTTGTCACCTGTCCCCCAGGACTGAAGTGTCTTTAGGGTAAGCACTATATTCACAGCATTCATGTTGTATCAATTATACCCAGGAGAGTACCAGGCATAGTGCAGACAAATCATCCCTGTCTCCCTTCCTCCTCTGCTCCTTATGCCCCTAGTGTTAGATGCTCTTGGTTCTCTCCTCCTCCTCCACACCTCCCTCTGCACACTACTACCACATTTAGACTCCCCACACACCATGCTCCTCTACCCACTCTGACCCCATGTGCTCTCCAGTTCCAGTGGCTCCAAACAGAAAGATATAGTAAGGGAGTGAGGCTTACTTGTACCCATAAAGCCAAGCTCCTGTGCTCCATTATCACTAGATGAATTGTAGATGTTGGCCTTGAATGTGTTGATTCTGCTCAGTTCTGATGGCCCCATGGCAACTCAGAGCATGGTAGTCTCCCAGAAATCAAAATGCCTGCCTGCATATTACATCCAGCTAGGGGCCACAGAGCTCTGCATCACTGTTCTTGGAGCCCTTTCCACTTAGTCACAGTTCACACCTGACTGCTTTCTTCTTCTCTTTGTGCCCACTCATGCCTGCCAGAGGAGCCAGTTTATGAGCCAGTTTAAGAGCCATGATGCTGAGCCAGTGGCAGGACACCTCACTTGGACTTTATAATGCATATTTTGACTATTCTGGGAACATTTTTACATATGTCCTGCTCATTGTACTTTGAGTACCTGAGATTGCTGGACACATGAACTGTGATTTAGTGAGGTATTCCAAATTCAGCTATGAATTATGTAATTTTGTGAGATTTTGAATTTCATTTTTATTTAGGTTGTTCGTATAGCCACTGATTATGTCTTCTAGTTTCTTTTCTTTGAAAATAGTTTCTCATCAGCATTTTTTAGATTTTATTTACTTATTTGAAAGGCACAATTTCAGAGAGACAGAGGCAGAGAAAGAGATAGAGAGACAGAGAGGGAAAGAGAGAGAAAATCTTTGATGCACTGGTTCACTCCCCAGATGGCTGCAATGGCTAGAGCTAAGCTGATCTGAAGCTAGGAGTCAGGAGCTTCTTCTGGATCTCCAATGTGGGTGCAGGGGCTCAAGGACTTGAGCCATCTTCTACTGCTTTCCCAGGTCACAGCAGAGAGCTGGACCAGAAGTGAGAAGCTGGGACTTAAACAGGTTCCCATATGGGATGCTGGCACTGCAGGCAGAGGCTTTACCCACTACACCACAGCGCTGACCCCATGTCTTTTAATTTCTAAGTAACTGCATCATAGTGAGGACCATTGTATATGGTAGCAGTTAACATGATGGCCTTGATGATTTACATAGGGCTTATACATATCATTTACCCATGAGTTTGTGTTCTAGATTTATGCAAACTTTGTAAGTTGATTGGAGGTAGCCTTTTGTTACTGATGAACATTAATGTGGTGAGAACATCTTGTGCTTTAAAAATAAAATCCAAATTAAGATTTACACATAAGTTTCCATCTGCCTTCATCCACCATATTAAAGCATTGAACTCCCATTGATTCTACATGTAGATCTCAATGTAATATTTGCCTTTTCTTCATTCTCACTGCCACAGTACGTCTGCAGTGGATCCAACTAAATTATCTTTAATAGACTAATTTACCCCCTGTCTTTTATTTTCCTTACCTTTGTGTCCAAAGCCTTTTGTGATTCAGCCCAGTCTCCCTGCCTGTATCTGGTTGTTCAGTGTCTCTTACTTCAATTTCTAGAGAAATCAAGTGTCTGGTAGTTCTTTCCACATACAACACAGAAGATTGCTCAATAAATGCTTATTAAATAAATGAATGGAATGCCTTCCATAGCAAGGGTGAACATTTGACCTGTTGGCCTGGATGGTTCCTGTTTATACACTTCAACCCTAATTGTGACAGTCTTCAAATAGATTTCTATTTCCTTGTCTCCTCTACTAGGCAATTCTTGGGGGTCAGAACTCTTATTTGCTTGTTTCTATATTCTCATTTATTCATTGCACTAAGAGACTCTGTCCAGATGCTGAGTTAATTTCAAGGCAAACATGTTTCTTGCCCCCATTTAAATTTCAATTTGGCAAGAAAGAGCAGTCTACCCAAAGAATATTGCCTGACAGTAAATACTAGTGTGAAGTCAATGGATAAATATTTAAGCATTCCTAATCCAGCAACAACTCTAATCCCATGAACTAGAATTGACAGAAGCAATCATAAACATAGAACTCCATGTCATCCAGTTATCCATTTGCATTTCTACTTAAACATTTTAAAAATCATATGTATACCTAAGATTGCATAATATATATATGCTATCTTGATATTAAATGTAAGAAAAAATGAAAATGACCATGGAATAATAGCAACTTTGAATTGCCTTCCTTTTTAGAGAAGTTATAATCCTATGTTCTCCACAGTGTAGATTATTGTTGTGGGTACTCTTCCTCTCTCTCACTTTTTTTTTAAAGATTTATTTATTTATTTGAAAGAGTTACACAGAGAGAAGGAGAGAGAGAGAGAGAGAGAGAGAGGTCTTTCATCTGCTGGTTCACTCCCCAACTGGCTGTAATGGCTGGAGCTGTGCCCATCTGAAGTCAGGAGCCAGGAGTTTCTTCTGGGTCTCCCACATGGGTGCAGGGAACCAAGGTCTTGGGCAATCTTCTACTGCTTTCTCAGACCATAGCAGAGTGCTCGGTCTGAAATGGAGCAGCTGGGACTCAATCCAGCACCCACATGGGATGCCAGCACTGCAGGAGGCAGCTTTACTTGCTTCACCATGGCACCAACCTCCCTGTCTCTCATTTTTTTTCCCCAGATGACAAATCTGGGGTTTTAGAAACTGAGCCCCAAGACAAAAGAATTTCTTAGACCAGTATTATATTTTAGTTAGCCTTTAACCTAGACGTTTTAATGATATTGCCATGGGAAAATTCTAAACTCTTTGCACCTCAGTTTCCCCTTAGTGAAAACCCTGATTATACTGTCTCCAGAATTAATCCAAGGTATAAATGCTATGAGGTAAGGCATTTAGTCCCTTAATCTTGCTCCTAGAAGATACTTAGCAATGTTAGTTCAGTATCCAGTTCCCTTCTTTGTTTCTATGCTTGAGGAATTAAAAGATGGTGTAAAATGATTTGAGAAGAACTATAAACATCAATAAAACACAAATAAAAATTGTATTATCAAATCTGCATGTTAAACTCTACCCTCTACACCTCTGCTAAAAGGTATATTGCTTTCATAATCATTTGAAAGAAGTTTCCAGGAACAATGCAACCAGTAAGATGTTTCTGGAAGAAGGCAGAGCTTATGAAGGAGCCAGGATTTGGGATCAGTTAGCAGAAGTGAGTGCCACGCTTTAAGATTTGATTCAGGAAAGAACACCAACTGATCATTGAGATTTTGGGGTGGGAAGGAAAAGAAGAGGGGATGTGAACAGAGTGAATGCCCCCTGCTGGCCAGTATTTCTCCATCCATTCCACACTGAAGCCCTTGGGGATCGCCCTCCAGTCTCTAGAAATGCATGGCCTGGACTCCATTTCCCAGAGTCACCAGGTGCTCTGACGTATTCTGCGTTCTGAATGCCTGTGCGTGTGGACGTGGGAGTACCTGTGCCAGCATTTGCGCATGACGGTACCTGCCCTCTGGTGCAGAGTTGAGAACAGAGGAAGTTCATTCAAGGATCAGAGTCAGCCTGAGAGGCCACACTGCTCCTTCTCCCACATTCACTGCCGCTCTTGCTCTGCACACAATCCCAGGAAGTCTGCGGAGACACCCTGAGCCGCCACCCGCTGCTTCTGTGCCTCTTCAGCTGCCGCCTGTGGGTCCCACATGCCGGGGACTTTTTCTGCTCCACACTCTCCTGCTTTGCTCCCTGAGTGTCCTGAAGCAGGGGGATGTGCTCCCAGGACTTTCCATGGCAAGTATGGAGAACAGGAAGGGGCATCTATGCGTGTGTGGAAGAGGGGTGGGGCGAGAGGGCGGCTGGTGGCTCTGCCACGTGGCTCACTTGCTTCTCAGTGATCCTGGTGGCTTCCCAGGGCATGGTCAGGGCTGGGACCTTGGCTCTCCTGTCTCCCACTGCCACTGCCCAGCCTCCTAGTGCAGGCCGGCCCACGTGTTACCTTGCTCAAATTTTCCTTAATGTGCTTTATGTGGTGGTTACAAAACAGAGAGCACCGGTCAGGACAACTGCACAAGCGGGGCAGGTGAGAGGGCGGGGAAGGAAGGCCATGAAGCTCCCAGTTCGCTCTATTTAAATAAGCCTGGCTCCCACGGAATGCCTTCTGGCTGCTGCTTCTGTGGGGAGGGGTTCAGTGGCCTTCAGAGGAGTGCGGGAGGCAGCAGGGGTGGGAAGGAGGGCAGAATAGGAGCTGCTCCGTGGCCCCCACTCTGCACCTCATCGGGCCATTGGATTCCCCATGGACACATCTGGCAGCGGTGGCCCTGCTGCTGAGCTTTTCGCCAGAGGGAACAGTGTGAAGGGTGAGCAATAACTTTGCGGGTTGATCCTTCTTCCGTGTTTAGTTAGCAGACTTTTCAATCTGGAGTTTGAGGCCACAGAATCTTAGCTGATGATTTAATTGTTTGCTTTTCAATTTCTGTCGTCAGCTCTTCTTCCTTCTCCTGTTAGGAAGGATGTCAACTGCTATTGCCTGTCATGGAGAGTGAGTGAACTGTGCGAGTCAACAACTGGAGCTATTTTAGTCTGGATTTGCATGAAGTGGAGAACTATAAACACAAATACAGAAAATCAGTCACCCAGTGCTCCACCAGGCTGATTATCTTACAGTCCATACTTTTTTTTAAAAAAAGATTTATTTATTTATCTGAAAGTCAGAGATACAGAGGGGCAGAGGCAGAGAGAGAGGGAGAGGTCTTCCATCTGCTGGTTCATTCCCCAAATGCCTGCAATGGCCAGAGCTGGGCTGACCTGAAGCCAGGAGCCAGGAGCCAGGAGCCAGGAGCCAGGAGCTTCTTCTGGGTCTCCTACTGGGTATAGGGCCCAAGGACCTAGGCCATCATCTACTGCTTTCCCAGGTCATAGCAGAGAGCTAGATTGGAAGTGGGGTAGCTGGGACTTAGAAAAAATTCCCCCCTCCCTTTCAAAACAATCTACCTGGCATGGCCCATATGGGATGTGGGCACTGAAGGGGGCAGCTTTACTCACTCTGCCACAGTGCTGGACCCCACACTGAATTAATGAAGAAGTCCAGTTACTTGTCTTATTTTGGGTTCTGTGTTTAACCCGTGACATGTTTTTACATAGGACGATATTAGTTCTACATTTTCATAAAGACTGGTCTGTGGAAGCATCTATACAAGTTGTTAATGGGAGGAGGGGTCAAAAAGAAGAGGGGAAAGAAAAAAAGTTCACCTCTCCCCCCACAGAGATGTAGAGTAGATGTGACCTTGAAAACTATTGCTGAGTGAATTTCTGTGTAATGCAGTTTTCACATGAATAACTGAGTGATTCCAGTGTCCTGATAGAATGTCATTGTCACCAGATTACCAGTTTATGAAACTCATTTAGCATAATGAGGCCATCTAGGAAGTAAACACAGAAAGTGATTTCTGGATAGAGGGTGTTAGGGTGACAGCATTTCTCCTCTCAGCCCCAGTGTGTTGTTTGTGACCTTTTCCCCAGTGCCCTCCCTATCACAGTGCTTGTGAGTGGACCAGCATTTTTGTGTTTCTGGTGGGAAGAGCTGCTTCACACCCATGAAACAACTGTAAGACCACTTTCTGAGCAATCATGTTGTTTGCCTGTTAATATGACTTGGAAAAAGCTGAGAACAGGATGCTTAGACTCATCAGGCTAACTGGCTTCCTTGGCACATCCTTCCCCTCATGGCTATAGGTTTCTGGCAAGTTTTATAAAATGTGTAAGAGAGGAATATTTTGTATGAGATGCATAAGCTGGTAACGAAGTAACACCTGGACAGTAGGGACTCCATTTTGGAGCACCTGAGACTCCATCTTGAGAAAGCACCCACCCCCCCAGCCATGAGACTCTGGTCTGAAACTATGATCTAAAGCACTGTGCATTTGTGTCCCTTCCTCCTTCTTTCCTTCAATGCTGGAGCAGCCTTAACAGAGTTAAACTGGGTAGCACTGGTCATTTTGGCTTTGGGTGCTTGGAAAGCAAGAGGAATTGTTTTTTCTGCAGAAAGGGATTGAGGAGGCACTAGACAAAGTCAGCAGTAGCTTTCTTGGCTCCATCGTATGTCAAATTGAGTCAGAATATTTGTGGTCAGTTTTCTTTTTTTAAATTTTTTAAAACTTTTTTAAATAGAAAGGCAGAATGAGAGAGGGGCTTTTTTATTCTTCTTAATTTTAATCTTTTTTCTATTCTTTTTTTTTTTTTTAAGATTTTGTATTTATTTGAGAGGTAGAGTTATAGGCAGAGAGAGAGATAGAGAGAAAGGTTTTCCATCTGCTGGTTCACTCCCCAGTTGGCTGCAATGGCCAGAGCTTTGCTGATCTGAAGCCAGGGGCCAGGAGCTTCTTCTGGGTCTCCCACATGGGTGCATGGGCCCGAGGACTTGGGCTATCTTCTACTACTTTTCCAGGCCCATATGTGATGCCAGCACAGAAGGTGGAGGATTAACCTACTGTGCCACAGCGCCGACCCCTCTTTTTTCTATTCTAAGAGATCTTCATCTTCTGGTTCACTCCCTAATAGCCACAACAGCCTCTGCTGTGCTAGACTGAGGCCAGGAGCCAGGAGCCAGATCTCCTACTTGGGTGTAGGGGCTCAAGTACTTGATCCCAGACCATTGGCAGGGAGCTGGATGGGAAATGGAGCCACCAGGACTGGTACCTATATGGGATGCCAGTGTTGCAAGGGATGTTTTCAACTAGCTGCACCATTAGTGTGGACCCCTTTCTAAAACTTTTTAAAAGAAATTTATTTATTTGATAGGCAGAGTTAGGGGAAAAGAGAAACATACACACACACACACACACACACACACACACACACAGATACCAATCTTCATCCACTGGTTCACATCCTCAGTGGCTACAACAGCCAGCGCTGGACTGGATCAAAGCAGGAGCCAGGAGATTCAACCATGTCTCCCATGAAGAAGCAGGGACACAAGCACTTGGGCTATCCTCTGATACTTTCTCAGGCACCTTACCAGGGAACTGGATTAGAAGTAGGGTAGCTGGGACATGAACCACAGCCCATGTGGGATGTCAGTGTCACAGGCAGTGGCTTTACATATTATGCCTCAATACTGGCCCCATGTATGCTGGAAACATATTTAAGGGTTATTAGAAGGCCAGTTGATTTCCATCAAATGCCATTCAGGCCTGTCCTACAGAACCATTTTGAAATAAGTAACATTTCTCATATGATTGAATGTCAGTCTACAAGACTGCTTCCAAAGGGAGAGAGCTTCAGCGGCAAAGGGGGCAGTGATGTAGAAAGAGAGTAGGAGTGAAGGAGGAGGGAGGAGGTGGAGGTCAGTAGAGAGGTTGGGAAGTACTCAAAAGCAAAAAGTAATAGGACGCAGGTCATTTGTGCAGATTGCCAAAATTAACCATGTATATTATAGCTTTTTAAAATTCAGAGTTTATTTCTGACATAATTTCTGATATAGTTAACTCTCATTTCTGTTTTTTCATATGATAATGTTTATAAGCAGTAGAGAATGGGTGTAATTAAATGCAAAAGCATACTCCTATATAAGAAATTTGTATTAGATGCCAGCACCACAGGCAGTATTATTTCTTATGAAATTATTCCCATGTTTCCTGATTAACATTCTCTGTTGGTTGAAGAGGATGGCAGGTTGGGAGACCAGGGAAAGAGTGAGCACCTGTTTTCTGTTCAGTTGGGCTGAGCTGCAGGGAAACTATCAGGGAAGTTTGTGAGCAGGAAAAGTGAGGTTGGAGGGTAAGAGAAAGCAGTGTAGAAGGTAAGAAGAGAGGAAATAATTGCAGAACATATTCACAAATTAGTTTGGCAAAAGCCAAGTGTGATCAGAGACCTAAAAAGAGGGAAAGAAAAGTTGAAGACAGAGAGCAGAAGAAATGGGAAATCGGAAGAATAGGACGGAATTTTGACTCTGATCACACACACTTTTGGAAGGTGTGGGGAAACAGGCCCTTGCACTCATATTGGCAGGAGAATAACACAGTACTCTCTTTGGAGGATAATTTAGCAGATCAAAGTTCTTTAAATGTTAATGTCCTTTGCTAGGATTCAACTGCAAATTTATCTTATATATATTTGGTCAAATATGTAAAGAGCAAGTCAGGTCTTTGTAGTATTGTTCAAGATGGGAATAAAACAGAAGCAACCTAAATGTATATTGACAGAGAATTGGTAAAATGCATTATGGTATATCTGTACAGTCAAATACTAAATATGTAATAGGTCTGAAAAATGATGTAGGGACAGAGTACTTATGTAAAACAAGGTACAGAAAAAATGCCCCTTTGTAAAAAAAGGACACATGCATATGTATCTCTTTATAAAGTGGTATTTACTCATTGTCATTTCATTCAGAAGGCAGAGAGACAGACAAGGAGAGCTCTTCCATCTCTCCCTGTGAATCTGCTGATTTGCTCCCCAAGTGGCTGCAATGGCTGGGGCTGAGCCAGGCCAAATCCAAGAGCCAGGAGCCAGGGGCCAAGGGCCAGGGGCCAGGGGCCAGGAGCCAAGAGCTTCAACCAGGTCATCTTTCACTGCTTTCCCAGGCACATAAACAGGGATTTGGATCAGAAGTGGAGCAGCTGGGACAGAAACTAGTTCCCATAAGTGATGCCAGCATTAAAGGTGGTGGTTTAACCCATTTATGCCACAATGCTAGCCCTCTGCACATATATCTTTATGAAGGCACATCAAAAAGTTCATGAGAAATGGAATTAAAGATGACATTATTTTGGTGCAAAACTTGTAATTCATTAA